GAGTTTGTTTCTGAGCTCACTTTTCTGTGCCATTCGTCTGTGTGTGTTTTTATCAGTACCACTGTACCACACTGTTTTGATGATTAGGGCGTTGTATTATAGTTTGAAACCAGGAAGTGTGATGCCTCTGGCTTTGTTCTTCCTAGGGATTGCTTTGTCTATTCAGGGTAGCTTACAGTTCCATAAATATTTTAAGATTGTTTTCTCTATTCCTGTAAAAAATGCCATTGGAATTTCAATAGGGATTGCATTGAATCTATACAAGGCTTTGGGTAGAATGGACATTTTATATTACATTTTTATATTTATATTACATTTATGTTCATTCTTCTAATCCATGAACACAGGATATCTTTCCATTTGTGTATTCTTCAATTTCTTTCATCAAAGTCTTGTAGTGTTCATTGTACAGATCTTTTACTTCCTTGGTTAAATGTATTCCTAAGTATTTTTTTTTCTTGTTTGTTTTCCTGATACTATTACAAATGGTTTATTTTTTTATTTCTTCTTCAGGTATTTTGTTGATAATTCATAGAAACTCAACTGATTTCTGAAAGTTTATTTTGTATCCTGCAATTTTGTTGAATTTGTTGATTAGTTTCAGGAGTTTTTTGGTGGAGTCTAGGATTTTATATAAAAACAATTTTCCTTCTTCCTTCCTGGTGTGATTGATTTATTGATTTGCCTAATTGCTTTACCCAGGGCTTTAGTTAAATAAGACTACTGAGAGGGGGCATCCTTGTCTTGTTCCTGATATTAGAAGAAATGCTTTCATCCTTTTACTGTTAAGTGTGATGTGAGCTGTGGGTTTGTTATATATGGACTTTATTATGCTAAGGTATGTATGTTTCTTCTAGTCCCAATTTGTTGAGAGTTTTTGGGGTTTGTTTTTGTTTTTGTTTTTAATCATGAAAGAACATTCACCCTGAGGGAGGAGCCCATGTCTTGGAAAGCACGGTGGTTCCAGTGGGGTCTGGTAAGCTCTCCCTCGCCCTTGATCAGGTAGTCCTGGTTGACTAAGAATCTTTGTGGGGTCACCCAGGGAAAAATTTCCTTTAGGGCGTGAAGCAAGCCTACAGGGATATGCACCTCATTTGTCTCGTCTGGAGACATGCAGGTAAAGGCTGGTTTTCCCTAGAAGTTTGTTCAGACTCTACAGATCTCAAAGAAAAACCAAAATGAATCTGGGAGATCGCGTCTCCAGGGCCAGCAAGCCCCACGACAATCAGCCTCCCATTAATACCAAGATGGCTGAGATGAGGACCCTTTGATACTTCTAAATTGATCTTTTTAAGCACACAATTAGAAAAAGCAAGCTATAAAATTAAGAAAACATATTTAATTGGCCTCTCAAAGTTTCAAAAAGAGGATTTAGACAAGTAGATCAACCTAAGATGTTGTTTAGATGTCAACCCTGCTCTTTGAGGTATTAAAAATGGCTGTCCTTAGTTTAAAAGAGGGGAGGTCATTTGGCACTTGCCTTGTCAAGGACAGATATAAATTGAAAAATGCCTCCAGGGCAAAATTTGGATCCAACTGTTCTTTCACAAACTAGTGAGTTTTTCTCATGGCTAAAAGGTCTGCTGGTGTCCATCTGTGTGTGTCTATATATGAATATTATAAATGGGAAATAATTTTTTACTTCCAGATGGTATTGTTAGAATTAATTTAAAGGCAAGAGCTTATAAAATAGGGTATTCTAAAATTCTTAGAAATATAGAAAGTCACTCAAATGCTTTTCAAATTCACATTAACATTAATCCTTAGTAAATAAAAGCTAGTTTAAGTTTGTTGGTTTAAGAACAGACATGCCTTTTGAATTACTGAAAGTAAATATAGTATTTATATTTGACCCAGGTTTACAAAATAAGTTCATGTTAATAATTGACTTTGATCTCTATAGAATATGTTTCTAGAGGTTGTAAAATGTCTTCATAAGTTTGCCAAGCTAAAGAATGCTTATTGCTTACTTCTTAATATTCATTAGAAATTGAGGTTTTAAGGGTTAAAATGTAGGCATACCTTTGCAATGTTCTAGAAGGGTATCTGGAATACCTCAAAAGTTTTGTTTTTATGTTAGATTGCATAAGAAACATTGTAACACAAGGGATGAAAAACTTCTAGGGTATAGTATGTAGGTAAACAATGGCTGTAAATTAAACAAATAGCAGGGGCTATGGAAACCCAAGATGGCTGCATGGTTCTCCCCTGCTCCGTGGCAAACCCCATTTTCATAGTACATTTAAGTTGGACTTAAATTAGATGAAGGAACTTATGAGCTGACACTACTGAAAGGAGATATCTTACACAATTGCCAAGGTTTGATAAAGTCACATCAAGAAAATGCCAAATAGGTCACCACTTCCTTTCCCAGCGAACTCCCAGGAGACAAAGACTTTAAAGATCGTTGACTGCCACCTGGAGATTCTGTTTATTAGAAAGGACATCAAATAAAAGACTCTCCAGCTAGGTTGGAAGGGACCTTATCAGGCACCTAACCACAAACAGACATCTATCCTTGTGTCTGACACTCACCTCGGCCGGTGACAGGTTTCAGACTCCTTGAGGACAAGAAGCTGCCGACATCAGACATCGTCAGACATGTCTGCTATCCCAAGACATCTAAAAGTCCTGTGTCCCTATGGATTGATGTTTAACTCAGAAACCAAATGTTTGATTGTCTTTACCAGTCTGCTAATGATATTAGTCACAATAGTTATGCTTGTTCTTTGGGTTTTTCTACATAGTCTAACTGGTCATGATTACTGAACATGTGTAAGACGACTATTAATAGTCATTTTATGGCTTATGTAAGTGCTATACTAGATGCCAAATACAGAAAAAAATGAGGCAGAAGGCAAAATTCACATCATGACAGCTCACAGAATAAGAATGACCCAGAGTGATTCTCACAGTGAAGATCAAGAGACGTGACCACCTTCTATTTGCCTGCCCTTCCCTTTTTGGGGAAAATTCGGCCTCAGCTCACACCCCATAGTTACAGTATTGTTCTGTCCCCAACGGTCCACTGTTTCAACAAAACGGTCAATACTGAGCCTTCCTAGGAAGGAGCCTTCCCAGCCCCATGAGACCACACTAAACGACCAAAAGGCTGGTCGTCAATGCATCCTTCAGACTGATTTATGACCAAAAGGGCAAATTTTGGATGAAAAACGGGGTCTATGGAAAGTAACCTCCCCGGTCATGTGATCATGAATGCCTCTCTGGGCTGGCCATGGTGGGTGGTCCCGTCCCAGGCCTCTAACCTCTTCAGTAAAAGGTTTGAAGCCAGCCCTGTCCTGGTTCTCACGCTTCTAGGTTAACACTCCTCTGAAATACCGGAAGTAACACCCCTTGAAGGGTATTACCCGCCTCAGGAGAGCACATAATCTTAATTCCCCTGTAATCCATCCCGCCTGGCTTTCTCCCACCTTCATGTCATCCTCCTTATGTTCCCTCCTTAATTTTAAATGCATAAAAGAAGCTGCAGAATTGTCATTCTCTGGAGCAGCTGAGATCTTGCTTCCTGGCAAGTGTCATCAGTTTGGCTCAAATAAACTCTTATTAAAAATTCTCTACAGGACTGGACGTTTCTTACATCAACAGCTCCTTCAACTAAGTAGATATTTGGCATGTTCATAGTATGAGAAGAGGATTAAGGTATACTGCAAAATGTCTATATGATATTCAAAGATGAGCCAGGAGGTATAAAGTTCACTCAAAGATTTTGCTGGAACAGTTGAACTGATTTTACTAGTTTTTGAACTAAATTTGCTAATTATTTTGGCGACAGTTATTTCCAATGCATTGGGAAACTAAAATATTATTTTTACATATACCAAAAGAGCCAGCTAAAGTCATGGAATCCTTGTATAATACATGCTATCTAATCATCTTTTATCATCATTAAATGAAATAGGAAACATAATCATCTTAGTGTAAAATGTTTATAAATGTATGCATGGCTGATGCTCATTCAGATTTTAATAACTCAGTAATGCCTAATTACAAGGACAGAAGGCAAGTTTCAGTCAAGAATCATTAAGGCCCATGAAAAATACAAATCGTTGAGTTGTTCTTCCTGACTTATTACTAAACAAGACCCATAGCAAATTAGAATACATAAGGTAGGCAGAGAAGAAAACAAATAGATCTCCTCAACCAGCACTGCGTTATCCACGGGAGCATGTCCTTATTACTAAATTTTAGAGACACATATTGAGACAAGCTTGGTAGGTAGGAAATTACAGGAAGATAATGTAATTCTAAAGTTGTAAAATATTCCATAATGGAAGGTGTTGCAAGATAATTTTGGCACGGGCAACATTTGCTTTAATAATATGATCGTATGTTAAGGTGATCTTAAAAATCAATTTAAAAATTCGTAAGATGATTTTATTCTCCTGTTACTATGTAGGTTTACTAACCATCTTTCATCTGGGGATGATTTCATGGGAGTCTGTTCCAGGACAAATGTTCTTTCAGTTCACTAGACTCCAAAGACAGAACAAAACACATCTCCCAAACAGCGTATTTTTATAGACCATCCCCAGCATCACCACCAACATAAAGGCAAAATTCACACAAATCGTACATGTGCCCGTGTCCTGCAGAGCTCGGCTGCACGCACCTCACCCCACACAAGACACAGTTTTTAGATGAACTGCCTGATCAATTAATGCCCCATTAAGAGCGACCACTAGAAGATCTAGTCCAATTCTAAAAATACGGCACCAAAAATATGATTCTGGGCATATCCCTTGAGCCATCACTTCATCTTAAAACAGATCCCATACCCCAAAAACATTGTGAATAAGCTACCCAAAACTTAAGTTCCTTATAGAAAGGAGTCATGCCTATGAAAAGAAATATTTTACTGAAAGAATTTAAAATAATTGTTTCATTAAAATGACAAATATAGTTTTCATACCTAAAATGAACGACCTTGCGGCTAAAGAAAAAAGAAAACAGCCCACTGTCACCACTATTTGGGCACCAACCTGGCATAGGCTGAGGTGCTAACACCGCGGTAGGAAGCGGCCTGGAGTCGGGAGTCGGCCTGGACAGAGACACGGCTACTTGATTTGCCAATAAATGAGGCTTTTCGTACCCATGGAACAATCTTGATTCCTCAGGATATATCCACGTTGAGTCCAGAGCAAAGGAATTATTTAAAAAGATCTGTCCAAAAAGAAAGCCAGGATAACATTTAAGACCACACACATGGTAAAAGCCAAAGGCGACTGTAAAATGTTTATCTTGTCTCACTTGGATCCAACATTGGACAGTCTGTAAGTGGGGGACTCTATGAAGGCATCATGCCCCAACTTACAGATCCATGGGGCTCCAATCCCAGTCGCCATCTGGATAAAGCTGTCTGGGCTGGTCTTCAACTATTGACTTGGTTAATTCAGCCCAGCAGCCAGTTTACAAACTAAAGAACCACCCCAATGAGGTAAATAGCGTGGCACAGACAAGTCACCACGTTATATTTGCTTTAGTTTTCAAGTAAACAAAGTATAATCAGTAAATTTGAATTCAAAAGCCAAGATGATCTATCAGAACGATGAACACCAAAGGCAATAATAGCAAGAAAAACTCACGTGTAAAATTTATACTTCAGTCACATAATGTTTAAGGCTATATTTTGATCAACTGCTGCAGATTTAAATTTTTGAAAAGTAGATTCTGATTCACCATTGAAAAATGTATATTGTTAAATGGAATCCAAATATTTTGAGCTAAAACAAAATGACCCCCACCACCCCCACTCCATCTGCTGGTGTTTAAACAGTCTGACCTTATCCCAAAAGGATGTCTCTTTAGGCCTGGATGGTCAATCCATTGCAATTAGAAAATAGAAATACGCTGTTTTCTGTCATTATGGAAATAACCAGCAATTTAGTCATCAAAGCCCATTTATTCAATTAAACTGCTGCACTTTACCTTACGGTTAGGAATCCGTTTGTCTATCCAGCTTTTCCCAACAGGGTGAGGGAGAGCGGCTGTGCAGACGTGTGGGAAGACAGGCACCAACTCCACCGTGGAAGAGGGGGGCAGTCCTACGGACGGAGAAGGGCCCCCGAGCAGCCACTGAAACCCAGGAGAAGAGGAGGGATGCTCATTAGCCTGTCGCAATCAACTCTACTTTGTACCAGATGTCAGGATGGCTGCTTTTGTAAAAAGGGGGAATTTTAAAATGTATGTCTTTGATTATGAGAAAAATTCCCTCTTTCCTCCGTCAAGAAAAACCATAAATTTTCACAAAATTTGAAAATTTACAGGTTTTCATATCTGAATCATCACAAAGCATTGCCCACACTGCATTCTTCAACGCTGAGGAAGAACTAACCACAAAACCATGAGAACGTGCTAAGAAGTGGGTCTCTGCCCCAAGACAAGGAAGGAGGAACCACCATGGAAAGGTGACACGCTGGGCATTCCTTTTCTGATTCTTGGATTCTTTTCGTAAGCAAGCAGAGAGCTGTATAGTATGATATTCCTTTCAATATAACATTTTGTATTAATTACACCTATTATTTTAAAAACAAACGCAAGTAATATTCTCAAAATAAAGCTAGCTAAGGGGTTAAGATTCAAAGTTTCCCAAGGTTCACAAATGCAAACAGAGTTCAAAGTAAGTGCGCTTGTCACAGAACTGGAGATCCAGGGTGCAGAGGAAAGGAGCAAACCCTGAAGGGGCAGACATTGCGGACACAGGCTCCCTAATTAAAATAACTGAATCTTCATCAGTGGAGAACTAATCAAACCAAAGCTCAGTGATATGGAATGCTTCAACAGCTATTTTTAAAATCATAAAAGCATTTCTATTTTCCTGTTATGTGAAAATGTTCTTCTGGTTCTAAATATTGTCATTTAACAGAAAACACGTAGTACAAAAAATATTTAAAAGATTAATAAGGTTTTTTAAAAAAATTTTTTAATTTACACAGAAAAAAATGCAGTGTTCTATACAGGGGAAAAAATACAGTTCCTTGACATTATATACCTCTAGTGGTAGTACTCTGATATAACAACCCCTCCAAAATATCGAAAAAGCTACCAACGCTTATTCAATAAAACCCAATATGAACTGCATCACACGTCAAAATACAATATCCAGACTGCATATGTGATGTGTCATTAGGTCTAAAGAACAATTTAGGAGGAGTTTAAAAAAGCCTTTTAGAAAAAGCTCACAAGATAGTATTGGAATAAAATTAATTAAATGGTTATTCTAACATATCACTCATTTGAATATGCTAATGAGACAATCCTTGGAATAAAATACGTGTTATTCCCTGATTTAAATGCATCTGCATAGTTAGATAGCAAACAATGGATCTTGCCAAAACCAGCCTGCCTTGCTCTACTGCACAGTTAATCAAAGGTACAGTCACTTTTTCTTTTTAATTACAGGTTTTAAACGCCAAAGTATGCTAACGTGCAACATGGCATTAGCTAATTAGGTGGGCTCAAGCGGACGTGGGTGGGGGTGGGGGCGGTATCACCGGTAACGTTTCTCAATGTTAAAGGCAGGGTTTCCCTGCCGGCTTCCATGGGTTTGAATTCTCTTAAGCATTGTCCTGAGTCTATTTTCACATTTAAAAAAAATAAAAAGATCAGAATCAGAAATAGCTATTGATTCCCAGCTTGCTTTTCAAGTCTGGCAGAGACTGTAAAAGTATTAACTTCTCTGCGATAAGTCGGCCAAGGTGCGCGGCGGCAACGCGGGGCCCCGGCGGCGGCTACTTCAGCACCGCGCTCTGGACAGCGACCCGGCCGGGGCGAAAGTTGCGGCCAGGGCGGCCCGCGCCCGGCCTCCCGGGCGGGTCTCTACGAGGCTCGGCGGGGAGACGCGGAGAAACGCCGCGCCAGCTGCCTGCAGGCAGAACGGGACGTGGACGCGGGAACTTTGTTGCAGATGCATGGCTGCCAGCCTGCGCCCTGACGGCGTGGGGAGCCAGGACCACCCGGGCGGCGGGGGGG